CAGCATCCCTGGTGCTGGAGCATGATCATCGAACATTCTCTGTCATCAGCATATTCTCTATGTCAATAAATGGGAGTGTGGTAGTCTTATTCAAAGCCTTTGATGACAGGCTGCAGGACACTGCCTGAGGCTGTAAGACAAATAACAGTAGTCTTCTCCATGGGTGCTATCTGACTTGTAAAAATGAGTACCTTCCTGCCTGTGCCAGGGCTGCTTTGTTAGACACAGGCAAGCTCTCTGCTATCTGTGCAGCTGCTGAACTTGCACATGTTTTAGTCAGAGCTGTATACAGCAGTGACAAGGGAAGCACTACACTGTGTCCCCAGATATGGCAAAGCATGGGGAAGATGGCAGTAACTTAACGATGGAAAATTACTTGTTGAAATTCAGAGTAGTTGTGTGGAGACTGCTGTCCAAGCTTAGTGAGGAAGCTTGCTAGTTGGGAGGTGCAGGGGGTAGCAGTGATGTGTCACCCACCTAAAGTGCAACTGAAAATATGTGATGGCCAGGGTAATACAAAACCCCTAGGAAAACGATTTTTCTCTACTTATCTTGTATGTAGACATCTGGATGACTGCAAGTAGTGCAGACTCTCCTTAGGGAAGGTTAGTGCTCAGGCTACCCACTGCTGAAAGTTTCTTGACACCATATGTAAAAAGCCTAAACCCTATGTTTTTATATAACCTAATTCTTAAATTAAATCTAGCAGCTCGATTTTCACAGCATGATCTCCTCACCCAGTTAAATGAATTCTGTGATGGTCATATGTGCTAAATTCAACAATATGCATCTGGAGAACAAATTCTCACTGTGAAGGAATTGCTTCTTTTTCCAATTAATCTCATGGAATCCAAAGTTTGATTGACTGTAACCTGCGCTCCTCCCACACTTCCACTTCTTTCTTTGCTTGCATTCTTTTCTCTAAAGGGGATCTTTTGTGACTGATCTGTTTGTTCTGCTGTTTCTTTGGGGATGACAAATTAAGCCACAGGTCTTTTTTAAGTGTTGCTATTGGAAGGTGGAGAGAGGATTTAGGCTCCATTACTCTGGTGTGCTACTGGCAGTCAGCTTTGGAAGTTTGGCTCATTCCTTTGGAAGAGTGGCCAAGATCTGTGCCTCAGTGCTGTGAGGGTTTGACTCTTGTCGTTTTAATAGTGAATTGGGATGTAACAAACGGGACAGCTTGTAAAGGGTTGAGTAAGAGAATTATAATTAATGCCAGTCAGCATGAGCTTCTGGAAAATTGATCCTGTCAAGCTAAGCTGGTACCTATTAAGTGTTTTTAATGTGAATGCAAGTTTGATATTTATCGCTTCTATAAAGCATTTTACTTGGTGACACCACTTTGATTAAGAAACAAGAACAGTATAGAAACATAGATATAATTTGATTTTACGGGTGTGAGGGTTGGGAACTGAGCTTGCCCAACTTCAGCCATTTTCACTTTTGCACTCTCTCCTAAGTCCAGTTGTCCTGAAGTCACTGGAGAGGAGAGAAGGGCCATTGCTCCACCCTGAGTTAACAGTAGGGGAACACGAGCTTGTAGGACAAAGCTTTTGTTGCCTGTGTCAACAATCCCTGTGTAGATCCAGAGGAGAACTTCAGGGAGGCTGTGCTAAACCTGGGTCTGACCATACTGCAGACACTCCCAGAATGTTGTGTTCAGGTCTGTCTGCACCTCCAGGAGGTGCATGAGATAGTGAGTAGATTAGATGTAGGGTAGAAGAATGATGATGGTGGCTAAGGGTGGAAAAACACCTTTACAGTCACTGGGATTTCTTGCAGACATTTGTTACCCTAATTCAAGAGAAAGACAGGATTTATTAGCTTTTCTATTTGGGAAAGTTGAAGAAAGGAAGAGTCTTCGGTTTGTTTAACAAAAATATAGCAAGATTTGTTTTCTAGAAATGAAAGCCAAGAAAATTCAAAATAAATAATGAAAAAAATATCCAAATAGGTTTTGACAGCCAGAATAATTAATCAGTAAGGTCTTTTGCCAGCATCCAGAAGGCGTCACTAGAACTTTGGTAACTATGACAGTTTGGTGTTTTTTTATTCCTGAAAAAAGTGACAAATTAAGTTATGTGCCTTATAATGCGCAAGAGAATCAGACTGAGGTCAAAAAAGGACTGCTGTGATTATGCAGTCTGTGAAAGGTGTGTTGGTCCCTGTAAAGAGGATATGGTTTTCCCTGTTCTGGTCAGGCTCTCAGAGCCTTATTTGCATAGAGATGTTGCATTTCCCTGGCATATGGCAGTGTTAGTTCAGATCGTAAGAGAAATGGTTGCTTTTGCCCTTTTGAGCACAGGCTGTTGTTTCCAAGCTATGGTGCTGTGCTCTCCCTTTCCTTTTTGTAGCATCAGACCCAACAGAATGAGCTGTCATCATCCCTCATGTCCCTGGTACATCATGAACCAAGTGCAGTTCCTGCTTGGTTTCTTGGCATTGTGCAAGGCTTCAGATAAGACAAGGAGGGACACAAAGACTCTGAAGAGCCAAGTACTGACTTTGCCACCATCCTGACTTTTTTTGCAGCAGCAGCCTGATCCTGTCCTGCTGCTCTCCAGCTGCCCAATAGCATTTGTCCCACACTACAAAAGGCAGGATCTGGCTGCTCTTACATCACCTGCAGTTGGTTATGCTACCTGACTCCCCAGCAGTCTCTGAGAGTCTTACTAGAAGAGTAGGGCTTTGTATTAAAAACCATCAGGAAATGGCAAACCAACAGGTTTTGTTCTGCTTCTATTGACTTGTGACAAATATCTGGAAAAGATATTGAACTGCAGAAAGTCAGTTCATGGTGTCAAAGAAGTTGAGGTCTTCTCAGTCTCAAATGTTTCAGTGCTTTGAATGTGAGTCTCTCCAGCTGCTTCAGTGAAGCACTGACATTGAGAAAATATGTTAGTCAAGCTGTCCTAAAACTTTCAGTCTTTTAATCTCAATGCCTTCAAACTATTTCAGAAGAAGGTATCTTTGCTTCAACAAAGAAATAAAAGGTGATTCAACAAATGTAGTTCCTTGCCTGGTACCTTTAAAATAAAAGTTTAGAGGGCTTTAAAACAAAGTTGCCAGTGGAGGAGAACATCAATCCATCCCACTCCTATCAGTTTGATGGCAGTGCCAGCAAGAGATTCCCAGAGCCTGGAGAGGGAATTGCTGGTCTGCAGGAGAGCACCTGAATCCAAGCCAGCTTCCTCAGGGGCCCAACTTAATGTCACTGTGCAGGTGAGGTGTGGGAATTAAACAAGAGGAGTTAGAGATGTGCATGTCTGCAGGGCTGTGATCTTACTGGCCTTGTGGAGACATGCCAGGATCGTTCCTGGGACTGGAATGTTGGAATAGAGTGACGTAGGAAGTGCAGGAGGTGGAAATGAGGAAGAAGTGTTAGTGGCCAGCTGGAGTGTATGGAGTTCTGCCTGGGGATTGATGAGAAACTGACTGAGAGCTTATGGGACAGGATTAAAGGGGGGACAGGGACAGGTGACTCTTCTGCCTTGGTCTTCACTGACAGGTGTTCCAGCCCCACTTCCTGAGTTGCTGAAGGCAGAGACAGTGATTGGAGAAATCAAGAACTACCTGCTGTAGGAGATGAGTTTGAGAATATCTAAGGATGCTGCAGGGGCACAAGTCCATGAGACCTGATGAAATGTGTCTATGGGTTCTTAGGGAACTGGTGGATGACATTACTAAAACACTATCCATCATGTTTGATAAGTTCTGTTAGTATCATGAAGTTCCCACTGACTGGAAAAGAGGAAACATACCTCCCATTGCAAAAGGAAGATACAGGGAACTATAAAGCAGCCAGTCTTACCTCACTGCCTGGCAAGGTCATGGAGCAGATTCTCCTGGAAACTATGCTAAGGCACATGGAAAATCACGAGATGACTGGTGACAGCCAGCATGACTTCACTGAGGACAAGTCATGCCTAACAAATCTGGTGACCTTCTATGATGGGGTTAAGAGCATTGGTGGATAAGGGAAGCACAACTGATGTAATCTACCTGGACTTGTGCAAAGCATTTGATGCTGTTCCATGTGACATTCTTGCCTCTAAACTGTGGAGACATGAATTTGATGGCTGGACCACTTGATGGATAAAAAATAAGCTGTTTGGTGGTACTCAGAGTTGGGGTCAATGCTTCAGTGTCCAAATGGAGAACAGTAATGAGCTGCATTCCTCAGGGGTCCATTTTGGAACTGGCACTGTTTGACATCTTTGGTGTCATGGACAGAGGGGGACTGAGGCACCCTGAGCAGGTTTGCTGGTGACACTGAGCTGTGTGGTGCAGGTGACAGTGGAGGGAAGGGTGGTGACACTGAGCTGTGTGGTGCAGGTGACAGTGGAGGGAAGGGTGGTGACACTGAGCTGTGTGGTGCAGGTGACAGTGGAGGGAAGGGATGCCATCCCGAGGAGCCTGGACAGGCTGGAGAGGTGAGCACGTGTGAACCATGTGAAGTTCAACAAGGCCAAGCACAAGATCCTGTGCCTGGATCAGGGCGATCCCAAGCACAAATACAAGCTGGGTGGAGAATGGATCGAGAGCAGCCCTGGGGACAAGGAACTAGGAGTGCTTGTGGATGAGAGGCTGGATAGGACCCAACAATGTGCACTTGCAAAGTCACCAAGGATCTTCTTTCAGCCATGAAGATTATCAGAGGGCTGGAGCATCTTTCCTGTGAAGAAAGACTGAGAGAATTGGGGTTGTTTAACCTGGAGAAGAGCAGGTTCCAGGGAGACCTTGTAGTCCCCCCTTTAGGTACTGGAAGGCAGCAGTAAGAAAGCTAAAGAAGGGATTTCCTACAAGGGCATGCAGTGATAGGACAAGGGGGAATGGCTTTAAACTGGAAGATTTGGAATAGGTGTTAGAAATAAATTTTTTACTGTGAGGGTGGTGAGACACTCGCCTATGTTGCCCAGAGCTGTGGCTGCCTCATCCCTGGAAGTGTTCCAGGCCAGGCTGGATGGGGCTCTGAGCAGTCTGGTCGAGTGGAAGGTGTCCCTGCCCATGGCAGGGGGTGTGGCAAGATGATTTTTAAGGTCACTTCTACCCAGACAATCTGTGATACTGTGACTTTCATCCAATCTCCAGCGAATCCAGTGGACTATAATGAATTTTGAAGTTGACTCTACTTTAAGGCAATCTTTTTCACTAGGCTGTATGTACTTGTCTTCAAAGAACCCTCACTATCAGGATTAAGAATTGTTAACTGAACATTCATGATCCATTAGAGTTCTGTAATTTTTGAATAAACAGTCTTTTCAGTGCTTTATTTTTGCATGGGATTATCTTACATATAATTTTTGAAGTCCAGACATATCAGCAGCTTTTCTTGAGTTTTTAATGGGAATTAAAAGCTAAGTAAACTGGGAATGAGTTAGAAGTTTTTACTTGCATCCTAATAGTGATCTCATTTTGAGTCTTAACTACAGCATATCACAGAACTTAATGTCATTTGGATAAAGCAATTCTATGTTTTACATGGTTTGGGGGAAAATAGTGAATTACATGCTCTAAGGATGGGCTCCTGAAGTATCTGTCTGCATTTCTTTCTGGAACTTTGTTCATTTGGTTTAGTGTGTATGCTTTAACTTCATTTACAGCATCAACTAAAGGCCATTTAAAGAAAAAGATGGGACTTGACAGACTATTAATGCTGCCTTGCTGATCTTCTAGGTCTGTAAACTCATTACTAACCTGTAATATCTTAGTGTTTTGAAAGCATTTTTAAAATAAAAAAGCTTCTGTAAATTATCTTGGCAAACTTTGTCATAATTGCTCATTGCGTTTGAGTTTGCAAAAATAGCTTTGTTTATGATGTGGTATTTTTAATGGCATATTTCACTGTTTCCATTTAAACTTGGAAGTGACATCTTTGTTTTTCCCCTTTAAAGAGCAGTATAATCCAGATGTCTGTCAAAAGAGTTGTTGATGTAGCATTTTATGAGTAATCCTTATGTTTGAGGTTTTTGTTTTGTCAGAACTGTTTGCCAAGCTCTTATGAAGCTCCCCATGAATATTATTGATGTATATTTCCTTTTAAAGAAGTGATTATCCAGGCAGGAATATAAACTCAACAGCCAGTTCTAAACCACAAATGTTTTCTCAAAAGTTATGTGATGTCACAGGAGGAGTTAATTTGTTGATGCAATGGAACAAGGGGAATACTGAGTGAATATTATTCTCCCCTTCCCTCTCCACTTATTAACCCTTTGAAACACAGGCTAGCATTTGAGTCTGGAGGACTTCAACTATTGCACAGTGACCTCAGGGGTTAGTGTATGTCTAAATCTTTGAAGAGGTGTTCATAGATCCCAGCCTGTTTTCTGAGGGAGGAGTGGGATTGTGAGAAACTGAGTAAAACATACCAAGTAGCCTTAGTTATCTAGCATTTATAATTTCAAACCTAGAGCTGATGGTACAGTGATGCTCCCATTTGTTGCTGCTAAAAAGTTTTCTGTAAATATTTGAACGTTATGTGTGTGCAGACATCCTTCTCTAGTCACTTTTTCTCAGGTAGTTCCTTTGTTTAGGTGGCTGTGGCTTATATTCTTTGGACCTTAGTGAGGACTGGCAGCATTGCCAGGCTTTCCCCAAGCATTTCAGAATCCTTATGGCTTGCAAATGGCCTGGGATCTGCAGACCTCACAGCATTTTAGCTCGCAAATTAGTAGTTGGCTGGCTGTCGAGGAAAAAAGAGAGCTCTAAATTCTGTAATAAATAATATATTAGGGTAAACATAACAGTAGTATTCTGCAGACATCTACATACATCAACAGTGGTGCAGAGCAGTCGCTCCTTTCTATAAAGTCAGGTGGGGCTGTGAAAATGGATGCATCCTTCATTTCCAACTCTGTGTTTTATTTTTTCTATGCTAGCCTGCAACTCTTGGCTGCAGCCCTGCCGAACTTCAGAGCCTGTGTAGCTTCTTGTGGGATCTGTAATTACTCCCTCCTCAGACCACTTGCTTGGCTTCTGGCAACAGTAGGACAGCAGGTCACACCAGGCATTAATTATAGAGCTTTTCATGGTAAACATGCTGAAGATAACAGATAAAGATGGCAGCACACAGGTGTCCCCAGCCTGGCAGCACTGACAGCTTCGGGTCTGTCTGTGCTCACCTGCCCTGTCCATACACCTTCCCAGCCGTGCTGAGCTCAGTGTCCTCAGTGACTGGTTTGATTTGGCAGATACACTGCCTAGAGCACACTTCTGCTCCTGTAAAGCTCCCACTTAGCCTGCCTAGCAAGAGTTCATACTTCATGTCGGAGTCAGTTCCCCCCCGCATCCCTCTGATTTGCTTTCCTTTGCCTTGTTTATTTGCAAAGGGAGGGTGTTCCATGTCTGGTATTTCATTCCTGTTCTTCAGCCCCTGCCCCAGGCTGTGGTACCTGACATAGGAGAGGTTGTTTGCAGGGCAGAGCATCTTGTAAAGGGCATTCTAAAAGCACTTTGTGCTTCAGAGTTGATTTATAGCTTGTCTGCACAGGCAGGCTTTCATAGTATATTTTTGTGTTAAACTTTTTCTGGATAATTAACCTACAATAACTATGTCCACATCCTTGGCTTCATCCTTCTTGTCCAAATAATTTTTTCAGCCACAGGTAAGACGTGGGAAGGCACAGCATGAAGCATTGCATCCTCACTGAGGTCCATGTTGTGCAGCTCTGCTGTTCAGTGATCTCTTATTCAGGGAGGCTGTGGAACAATGAGTCCCTCATTGCAGTGCCAAATGTTGCTGCCTGCTCCTTGCCTTTCTTCAGATCTGCTGTATGGCTTTTGGATGCTTTGTCTGTGACAGAGAAGCTCTGAAACAGTGCATTGCTGCATAAGAAAATTCTGGTTTTGGCTTGACACTGTATGAAATCATTGTCTCCCTCATCCTCTCTTGTCTTTTGGAAGCTTCTTTCCTAATTTACTTCTTAAAGCTGAGCTTTCTGCTAGCTGTTTGTGCTCTCCCCATATCTCATTGTTTGTTGGTGCAGCTGAACTCTTCTTTGGCAAGCCTAGAGCTGTAGAGGGGAGTCAAACTGATACAGCTCCTCTCTCCAAAAGATCCAGACCTGCTCCTCACTGACCAGGTCTTTCATGCCAAAGGCACTTCTGATTGTTCTACCCTTTCTTGAAGGTACTCGTGTTGATGAGAGGTGAGCTGACACTGAATTTTCATACCATGGCCTGCAGCTGGTTTAACCTGAAGAAACAGCTCTCTCCTTCAAGAAGGAAGAGATGCAGTATCTGAAGTAGATATCTTCAGTTCTACTTACTTCAAGTCACTAATTCAGAAGCATAGGCAAGGACAGAATCCTTAACCTGTCCATTTTGCAGTAGTTAGGCTCCCAAAGCAGAGATAAGGCTGCTGCTGTAGGCCACTGTAAGGCACCTTCAGCTTCATGGGAGTTAGTACAGGGAATGCAGGTTTTACCTCTGTGCAGGGTAGGACACTGTGATGAGACACAACCTCGGTTTGCTGTTGAAAGCTCCTTGCTGTGTTTCTGCCTTTTCTAGTTTCAATATTTTATTTTAGTGGTTCAGAACTACCTATCAGGTGTTGCTCCCCCACAATGGTAACTGCAGTGAAGTTTTGGTAAGCTTAAAATCCTTTCTTACAAGCAGCCAAGATTTTCTAAAGCAGAGGGAAGAAAATTCACCCAAATGCTAGTAAATCATGTAAGCTGCAGTATGTTAAAGTCCATTAGGTCTGTCTTCATATTTCCCCAAGTAGTTTTTTACACTTCTCTGGAACTGTGTGTCCAAGAGTAAGCAAACAGATTTTGAGCTTTGGCCCAGTTTTGTGTGCCGTTTTCATGGTGACAAGTAATTGCTTTTCTTGTTCCTTAGTTTCCTTCTGATTCTTCTTTCTTCAGATGTCCCATATCCAGCTGTGAGTTCTGTTTTGCCTTTCTGTATCACACTGCTGTCTAGAGCCTGCAATATGCTTCCTAAATAATATTCATGTCTTTTGTTATTGAGGTGAGAGAGGTTTCCTTAATGTAAAACTGTCATTGGCTTCTCAGGCTTCTTCTCTATCTGAAATCCATTTTATTTTTCTTAGTCTCAAATGGTTTTTTCCTGTTCTGTGAAGTTCTGGAACAAGGGTCCTGAGATGGCTTTCAGAAGTGTATGATTCCCAAAGGAGATCTTTCAGAGTAGCTCTGGTCTAGTGTTGCCCTTGGAGATGATGGGGTAACTATGATATGACTCACTATGCAAAACAGAAATTACTCCCTTGAGTAATTTCCCCCTTTTTTCCATAAATTGCCTCATGAAAACAGTGCTCTGCTCTTCTCAACAAACTAAAAGCAAAACAAAGAAAACGTTGCCTTTTTGTTTCAGTGGTTTTAGGCAGCCCATGGTATATCCCTTAGTCATCTTGTGAAGTCAGAAACACTCAATTAAAAAGTCACAGCAATGTATTCAAGAAGTGTTAAATAGGTAAATAAGTAGACCAACTGTTAGAAAAACCTTAGCTCCAAAAAGAGTCAAGACTTGTAAAGAAGACAGGCTCAGGAAGAGCATGGAGCTCAGTTTGATGGAGTGAACTGTAATGATTAGGGATAATGTGGACAAGATGTTTACATTTCCACACTTGCCCCAACCTTTCATGTGCTTCCTCTTTTAACATCTTATGTTTTCTAGAAACTAACCTTCAGCTGGCTAATGGTTAGACAACACGGGTTTTTTTCTGCATGTAAACGTTCTATGTGTTTTATTGAATCATAGAATGGTTTAGGTTGGATGTTGGTTAAGTAGCCTGACTCCTGGAAGGTGCTCTGCCAAGGCAGGGGGCTTGGAACTCTATGACCTTTTAAAGTTCTTCCAACCCAAAGGTGGCCTTGAACACCTCCAGGTCTGTAGATGGTCTTGACTCTGATCTTCTCCCACAGTGCTTGGTTCTTCATTTCCGCAGTCTCTGCCTGCAACTTGGGCAGTGTGGGTGGAGCACCTGTGACTGAAGACTGAGGCAAAAAAGTCATTGAGTATCTTAATGTTCTGCATGTCCCAAGTAACTGGGTTTCCCATTTCCTTCTGGAGAGGGACAGCATTTTCACAAGTCTTCCCTGTTGTCACAAAAGTACCTATAGAAGCATTTGTTGTTGCCCTTGATGTCCTTGGCCAGATTTAGTTCTATCAGCACTTCAGCTTTCCTAACCTGATTTGGGATATCATTCATCTGGCCCTAATCGTATCCTTTTAATTTTTTTTTTTTTTTAGTGGCTTGATCTTTTTTCTTTTTCCCCTTGTTTCTCAGACTGATGGTGCGTTGTGCCTCTCAGCCAGCTCTCATTACAGATCATTCATTGCAGCATGAGCCATTTGGTCAGCTAGTCAAGCCAAAGTTGCTATATGCTTCATTTGCAGAAATATAGAAGGAATTTAGCAGTTTTATTAAACTCTTAATGGAGCTCATTGCCTGACTGATCCACAAAGTGACCTTGGATAAGTCATTCAGTTTTTCGTGTGCTTGTACCCTTACCATCCTCACTTTCACCACACCTTTTTGGGCTGTAAATATTCAGCACTGAACCAGTTTCAGGCTTCCACAAGGGAAATTATTTGGTCAGGCTATTTAAACATAGTAAAAGTCATGCAAATATTCTGAAATAATATCCTAGCAGGGTAGGGAGATAACTTCCAAGGGGACGCTTTGTGTGCTTAACTTTCCATAGCTAGCAGGTTGGATTAGCGAAGTGTTACTTTGCCACTTCAAAATTATTATAAATGCACAAAAATTAAGTTTATATAAAATGAAAAAAGGCTTAAGCTGAGGTAATGGGACAGAAGCCCTGATTGTTTTGCAGAGGGAAGTGCACTGTAAACTTCAGATTCAGATTGTATCAACTCAATTACATGTATGCAGCAATTTTGTCATTGTAAGAATCTTCTTAGTAGAAACTGAAACTCTAGTGCTAAAAACATGAAATCAATAGGCACAGTTATATCCACTTAAAAAAAAAGTGTATTGATTTGCAGATAATGACAGCAGTTCATTCTTGCAGGATTACATGCCACTTCCTGTCATAAAGATTACTTTAATATGTATTGCATCTGAGATGGAGAATGTAGGGATAAAACTGCTTTGCTTTAATGAATAGTCATTTTACTCTGTGCATTAAAATGAGATATATTCCTTTAAATTTATCTCCAGGGATTATTTTGATTTCATGGGCAAACTCTATGCTACCAAAGACTCTAGAACACTATTAAACTTTTAAGTAGTCTTACATTGCCTTGTTTTTGCAAGTGCTTGAACTCATCCTCTCTTTGATAGCAACTAATTAAGCAAAATATCGTGCTCTTTCTGGTCTCCTCCACATCCTTGATTAGAGGGTTAACACCATGTTATCTTGGGTATTAGATGTTCTTTGCTAAAGCCTGAGCGCCTATCAGCATCTAACTCTGTGCTTTGTAACAAATTCCTGTCGCCTTCTGCAGTTTAAGTTCTCTGTGCTGATCATGGTGGTCTCTCATTGAGCAGCTTTTTTCATTTTTTTTTTTTTATTCTGGTGCTGTGATTCATTTGAAGCCTATTCCTATTACACATAAGTCACTTCTTGTGTTAAAATAATTATTTTCATCTTTTTCTAGGTAATCTGGCTTACCAGAAGTCTTCTGCTAAATGCAAGGGTTTGCTGTCCTGTTTACTGACTGTTACACCTGAGGCTGATTTTGATACAGATTGTGGATATCGCAGGGTAAGTGTGCAGATGTCTCTTTTTTTGTGTGGTTTTTCTTTCATGGTCTGTTCCTTGCTTACACAAACACAATTTGGGGATTGCTTTCCTTTTCAGTGGCTGCAGCAAGTCCGTATTGCAGCTCGTGCAACTGAGCATCTGTGTTATAATAGAAAAATACTGTAATATGGTAAATGGTGATAAACCTGATCAGAGTATTTTAATTTGGTGGTGTAGCTCCAAGAGAAAGCAAAGTTTTTTGTGTATATAGGCCTAGACTCATGGGTCCATATCTTATAAAACTAAAAAGCTGTAAGAGGTTTATTTGAGTGTAGTGAACTTTGAGTTTTAAGCTGATAAAAGTGCATGCATTTTTATATTAGAAATGACACATTCTTCATAATGTACATAGTTAAAATATCTGTGAAGTTTGCAAGATTGAGTTCAAATATTAGGAAAATGAAGACTAAAGGTTAGTTGGTTTCTTGGGGGCATGGGGAGGGAAAAGGAAGAACAGATTCCCTCTTATTGAAATCTGCTATGCACATTACAATAGAAACTTAAATACTTGACTTCATTGTTAATGATTCTTGTGGAATTTTTCACCTCCTGCCTACGGGAGGAAAGTTCAGTTTTGTGAATAGAGACTTGATTTTTCCTCCTTTTTTTTTTTTTTTTTCTTCTTCCTCAGTCTTGATCTCACCTGCTATTTTGTTTCCTTATTCCCTTTTCTAGCTTCCTTTTGCACTTCTCCCTGTATTTTATTATGGAGCTAATCTTCCTTTGGCCAGCTTTCTGGCTTCGTCCATCCAGATACATAATTTTTTGGGATAATTCAGGCTGGAAAACACCTGTGCAGTTGTCTAGTCCAGCCTCCTGCTCAGAGCAAGGTCACTTTTAAAGCAGGTTGCTGGGGACCATATGCAGTTGGGTTTTAAATATCTCCAAGGCTGCAGACTCCAAAACTTTGTTAAACCCTTGTTACCCTGTTTCGGCACCTCATGAAGGGTATTTTCTTCATTTAATAACTGAATTTTTGTTGTTGTAGCTTCTTTGATCTTGTCATATTGCTGCCCTTTCAAAGAATAGGCTCACTCTGTTCTCTTTGCATCTTTCTTTTGGGGAATAGGAAAACACAGTGAGATCTGAGGGAGACCAGTGTTGTAGCCACCACTGTCCTCCACTGAGGACATACTGGACTTTGTCTAGTATGTCAAAGCCTTGCTGTTCTGGAGGGCTCACAAATGCTTCCCTGGGCCTGCTGGCTCTGCTCTCACCAACACAGTTCAGAGTGGACACACTTGGGTTTGTTTCAAGGGCATATTGCTGGCTCAGTTTGTACCTGCTGTCTGTCAAGACCACCAAGTCCCATATTTTATTTTTCATCTTTTCATTTTGTTGAATCTCTCTCATACACAGTCATGCATTCCTTACTTCCTGCATTTGCTCTTTACGGGATTCCTCACTGAACACCTCAGTGTCCCCAGTGCACCTTCATCATCATGTTTTTGGCAACCTCCTCCCATAAATGTGCATGAGCTACACTTTGGAAATAGTGAAATGCTCTTGGAAATTGATTTATTTCCATGAGCAGCTAGCTTAAAGCTTTCCATATAGCTTTGATAATTTAAAATTCTTTTTCAATTCCTGTCATTAGTATATTCACAATAGATCAGGAAATTGTGTGTATGCTTGGATGTGTACAAGTGTGCATGAGAGTGTATTTAATCCCTTTTTCTGTACTGCCAGTACACAGCCATAAATAGTGCATATAATAATAATACATATATGAAACTTGCTGGAAATTGAGTCTGAATTATGAACAAGTCTTATTTTATATTCTTTATGTTTATCCCTGCATGTGTGTGTGTAATGCTACAAATTGCAGATGCCAACAACTGTAATTGTAGTGGTGGTGAGATCAAACGTTCTGCTCTTTTTCTTTTTTTGCTGGCCCTCACAATGAGTAATGCATCTGCTTTTCTTGTATTCTAATAGAGCATGTATGGTGGGAGATACACCAGAGAAGAAACACTCAGGAATACAGTCTCATCCTTAGCTTGACATCATGATCAGATGGTTCTTGAGGAAAGGACACATAGTCCTGTGCTCTTGGAAGCTTTGCTGTCTCATTCCTTAGGGAAAGGACCAAGAGGGCATCAGTAGACCGGTGCTGAGATCATCATTACTAGTTTGGCCAGGGTGTCTGGAGCTCCTGTACAAATCCTTCTGTTTATATCTGCTAAGGAGAACAAAAGAATTCACTGGGAGGGGCAAGTGGAACAAAGGGTTAACCATATTAAGTCAGGGGAAAAAACAATTGAGCAGAAAATAAGTGGAAAGGAAAAGAAAATGTACAGAAAGGAGAATAAAGACTTTAACTTGTGACAAATTGTGTTGGTTTTAATTCAGAGAAGTGTTGTCCAACTCATGAAGAAGTAGTTACACGAGTGCAGCTCATACGGTGATGAGTGACAGTTTAATTCACTTTCTGTGGTGGGGAATGTCTAGTAAATCTGGCTTGTGATAAGTTGCCACATTGCCTAGTCACATCAGTATGAAATGTCTGGGATAATCTTAGGCTGAATATCCAGTTACTGCACAGTGATTCCATTGGGCTGTGGGATGCCTATGGGTGTTTCTGCCATGGTGGCTGTGATCATATATAACATATATGTAAAAAAAAAAAATTAAAAATTAGTAATTTGGAAACGAGAAGCCAGGTGAGTCCGGGCTTCCTCTTGGAGGCTTCTGTTGCATGTGAGAAATTTTTTGAAAAGGCTGTGAGTTCTAGGATGGACTGTCCCTGTCTCCTCCTGGTAGCGAGCTGCACGTAGGAGTTGTGCACTTGTCTGTCTCACCCGTTTTTGGATATTCCTAGCTCAGCTGTTCCCTTTAAAAGGCCTTTTAACTCAGTTTTTTCTGAAGGATATAAATAGTATAGCTGCATGTTGACTGTAGCCCTGTATATCCTGACAGTCATGTGTGGTTGCAGTTTTTATATTCCAGTTGAAGAAGTACTTAACACCAGTGTTTTCTGGCTCAAACTGAGTTAATTTTCACTGTATGCAGCACCTCTTAGGATAGTGTGGATGGCGGGGAGGAATTTGAGATGATGTTGAGAGCTGTTTTGGTGAAGAAGTTATTTTAATAACTGTGGGTCTCCCAGCACAGCAGACTGTTTTTTGGAGTATTTCTTAGGAAGAGAGGTCAGGAAGGTCTGGAAACTGTGAGACCTTAGATGACCATGTGTGTTTAGGAGCTTGAACAGTGATTGTGTCTTACTTTCATTTTTCACAGTTTTCAAGTGGGTGAAAGCAGAGATTTGGATTTATTCCATTTTGTCCCTTTCAGGAGAAGGAGCAAGCCAAATAAAGTAAAAAAAGTTGGGCACAGAAATCTGGGGTCACACTTCTTGGATGAATTTGTGATAAGCTTTGGGATGCAGCAGAGAAACCAAATAGCAACCTCACTTGTCTTTGGGACGGTATTCAAAGATGGTATTCAGTTTGGGAATGACCTTGGAGGGATTACCTTGTCCAAGCTCCTGCTCAAATCAGGCGAACTGCAGAGTCAGGGCAGGCTGTTCAGGGCTGTGTCCAAGTCCAAGCAAGTCCTTTAATACTCCTGAGGACCAGGGCTCTGCAGCCTCCCCACACAGCCATTCTGCTGCTTAAACACCTGTTGTGAATTCCTCTTCCTTATCCCTTACCAGATTTTCCCTTGATGCATCTTGTACCTGCTGCTTTTCTTACTGCACACCCCAGGAAGATTCTGGCTCACCACATGCTCCACACCTTTAACCATCCACTGAATCATGACAAATTGGAGAATTATAATTATAAAATTATACTCAGATCAGTGCTTCCCGAGCACCTATGAGTCAGGCGGTACTTTTTGAGTTTGCATCCATTTAACAGCATCTGTGTTGGAGTTTGGGGTTTTTTTTGGGTTGGTTTTTTTGTTGGTTTGTTTGTTTTGGTTTCTTGGGGGGTTTAGTTTTGGTTTTTGGGTTTAGTTTCTGGGGGTGTTTTGAGGGATTTTTTTTTTGTTTTGGGGTTTTTTGTTTGGTTTTTTGTGGGGGGGGTTGGTTTTTGTTTGTTTGTTTGTTTTTGAGAGCTGTGATTTTACTGTGCTGTTATGTCAGGGAGCAAGTGTGGACTGAGGCACAGACAACACTCACTCTGACATCTCTGTAGGTACCAAAACAAAAATACCTGTTTTTGTTTCTGCCTATAGATAATATATGTCAAATAGACATGGGTTTAGTCACAGAGCTTGGAGTTGAATATGGTTCCTGTTCCTGTCTTCTTACACAACTGTCTTAGTAATAGCTGTGCCTCAACTTCCATGCCTTTAAAATAGAGAGATTATGCACTCTTATTCACAGGAATGCTACAAGTCGTACAGTAACTTAAATGCTTTTAGTCACTTAGGAGAAAACTGCCATGAAAAAGATTAAAATGTGTTTTTATGGTATAAACTATATGTTTGTACTTGCATAGATTTATGTTAACTCCATACTGTCTATAGGCTGCTTTTTAAACCTAAGAAGTGTTATTCTGTAATGCTTTGTGTTACTGTACAAATTGGATGCTTTTATCCAAATTATGTGTTGGAAATCAAAGGTGACACACAGAGGGGTTATTAGGATAGCCTTTTTCTCACACAGAAGATTTGGAAGTAGAAACAAAGCTTAGAAACTTGATTCTTTTAAAAAGTAAGTTCTTTCTTAAAAGCAGTTAAATATTCTTTCTGTCAGCTTTAATAATAATGAGCTTTTTGGTGCTGGGAAGAGTGATAATTGCAAATGGCAAAAAGTCATCAGAATGTTGTTCCTCTGATTGCAGATTTTATTAATCGTAAAAGAAATGATTCACCTAGAAAGGCTCTTTTATAAGTGCTCATTTACATGAAGATTTGCGGCCTAATTTATTTTGTTTAAAAAAAAAATAAAAAACCACAAAACTCCACAACCAGGAACCTGCACAAATGTAGTCCTGTCCTTCAAAACCCTGATT